GCTTCACATACAATAATACAAGTACATATATACTTAGAGCTTTTGCCTAAGCAAAGATTGGTGGGGAACTCTCCTTGTAATTTTGAGGTCACGAGTTCGAGCCCCATCAACTAAAAAATGCTTGAAAGTAGTGTCGTAGTGGGATTGCCTTACCTCCCCCTTTACTTTCAAGCAATGACCTTGTGTCCAGGTCCTCCATCTAACCTTAAATATTTATATACTTAGAGCTTTTCTCCTCATAAGAAGGGTATTATTATTATTATTATTATTATAATTATTATTATCATTATTATTATTATTTATTTTTATTATTTTATTATTTTATTTATTTATTTATTTTTGTTAATAAAAATGTACTCCTATATATTTATGAACATACGAAGTACTGTTGGAGTATACCAAGTATAATTAGAGCTTAGAAGTGTATAAACAATAGAGTAAAAGACAGACATACCTATAGTAAGCAGATACGAAGATCCGCATAAATAGGGTCACGAATTTTTAAACTAAAAAGGTCTTAATTTAGAGTTGGTGGGCTAAAAAAATATCGAGCGAAATAATAATATGACAACAGAACTGTTGGAAGTTGACTTTACAGCTTGTATGTTTGCTCAATATTCAATCTCACTTACCAACATTTCCATCATTTTTCTACAATTTGCATCTATTTTCCAGCTTCTACAACTTTGTCATCATCAAGTTAATTGTATGTCCCTTTTTTTAAATTCCGACTTATACTTGGTACGTACAAGTAATGTATGATTATATGAATATATGCATAAATACATATATAAATAAGAATCATACATAATACCTCGTAGTAATTTAATTAGAAATGTATTACTCCTATTTAAAAAGGGATATATATGTGAAGAGTGCATGAGAGTTGAAGAAGTAAGACAACTATTGTAACAAGTAATATATATATATATATATATATATATATATATATATATATATATATATATATATATATATATATATATATATATATATATATATATCATTTCTTCATTACGACTTTATGAAAGTTTAAGACAATGTGATTATTAATTCTTGACAAAGTGTAAATCATCCCGTATTTGTATGATGCATATTATGTCATCGTAGAAACATATACGGAGTAGCTAGTTTTAAAAAAATAACATAATTATTATTTTATTTTTTTTGAGGAAACATACATAAAATTAAATGTATCACAGAACATTAATTAAATTAAATAAATAATATATAATGTTAATAATGTATTTAATTTGAACTAGTAATGTAATGATATTGACAATAACTAATCCAGATGAATGGAGTATTATTGTTCCACATTGCCTTAATAACACGTTGATAACCTTAAATCTCACATTCCAAAGGATCGGAGCAAATTGTTCATTATATTCTATGAAATTTGCGTATTAGTAGACTAGTATAAATCGAATTCCTAGTCTTGTTGATTGTGGTGGAGGGAAAAGAAGATGAAGAAAAAAGTAATAATTATTTTAATAATTTTATTATTATGTTGAGGCTAAGAAAAAATTTCATAGACGAGAGGTGTAGAATTTTACTTAAAATTGATTAATTGACAAATCAAACAAATCACAAGAAAGAATATCTATACAACCTTGATTTACTTGGACGGCTCACTTTTGTACCCTCAGGATATCCGTGATTAACTTAGCCAAATATGAAAATAAATTAATTAATAAAGTTAGCAAGCAATTCAATAAATTATAAAGTATAAACCCTTTTTAAGTGTAAAAATTACTAGTTTATGATAAATTCGTGTACAAAAAGTAGTAGAGTTGAGATTTTTTTTTTTTTTTTTTGGGTGTTCAATAATACTTGGGCATGCAAAATAATTAAATAAAGGAGCATTAAAAAGGAAATACATACACGAGTGCAGAATATTTATAAAGTTTAATTCATTTCATTTTATTTCATGCGAATGTCTTTACTTTAAGAAAAGTCTTTCGGTCAGAAGTCAACTAGTTCATTGCATTCTTGCCAAAGAGAGACTTAGCCGCACGAATTCAGAATTTTTACAAAACATATGTGCTGTCTAACGTTATAATATCTACAACTTCATAGACAACCATCAACAATCTATCTTTATATTTTAGATGTATTACAAGTAGACAACAAAATTTAATATTGTCTAATTAATTTCAATTTGACCAAAATATGAAATAAGTCTAGGTTAGGTCATGTTCTATTCACATTATTATCACTTATTTTAAATCTTAGAATAGCATACAATTCAAATAAGATAGGTTTAGTAAAATAAATTCTGATAATGATGGTTACTCAAATTCGATTCAACTAAAAATAAAAATAAGTGTTAATAAGTTTAGATAACATAAGTGAAATTCAAGTGAGTTTAACACACCCTTAAATCACAATATATTTCGAATAAATAGTGAATTAGTGATGAAGGACTTTTTCACGAAATGCTATGGTACCTTGAATCAACTATATACACACCTAGTAAAATTGAAATACTCCATGACTTATACATTTCTCATCATTTTATATAGAATCTGATACCTTAATGTTATTTAATAAGAACATATTTTGTGTACTGTAGAAATGATTTTTTTTTTTTTAATTTTTTACATAATAATATGGTAAATACTCAGAATACCTAGCTCATATTTTTGGTGAACTTTTTCTCTTTAATTGTATTTTAGAAAGTGCACATTTGTTTTGGTTCATACTAATGTTGGCTGAGCAAAACAGATGAATAGAGTACGTAGTATTGGAATTTAAATTAATAGCTGAGTGAGATGCGAAGATATTGGGTGTCAGAGTGTCAGTTGTCAGTGACGATATCATGTTTGTTGTTGCTGTTATTTTAGCCTATAAGATGGAGAATTAGGGCATCTACTATTCCCTTTTCTTCCCATGTCACCCCCTTGTTAACTTAACTAGCTATATGCCACCCACCCTGCTCCTTTGGAATTATTTTGGGACATACTATCAAACTGATTACTCAGAATTAAACTTAGTTATAATTTTCATTTAAATAATTAATTGACCATTATTCTTAATTATCAAATACATACAAACAAAAGTTTGGTGAGAAAATACATTCAATAATAACAAATGATTCTATTAAATAGAGATAGAGTGAGTACGTTATTTATCACTTTATACTTAGTACGTTTAAGAAAATCAGACGGACAATAATCTGAGTCGAAATTTCACAATTGACAATGTTGATTAATTAAGTGGCCTTTGATACAAAGCCGATAGCCGTTGACTAGAGGTAGGCAGAAGATGAAGAAAGTATAGTTAAGATCGAGTATTAGTTTTAATTTTGCACGCACACACACAAACAACACAGAGGGAGAGAGATCCGTGAATATAGACGTAAAGGACAAAGATACACCCAACAAAAGTATTCTTTTCAATCCCCACTCTAATGTTTCATCCACATGCACATGATTTTTAGTTGTTATTTTGTCTTTCCTTTTTTTAAAATAAATAAATAAATATAATAAAAATAATTGTAGCATGTATTTTTTCTTCTTCTCAACATATACATGCCATGCAATGCCACCTAGTTATACTTTTCACGGGATTATGATAAGTGATCGAGTTCCTCTATTGAATATCCTTTAGCCTTGGATTTGCTTCTTCTTCGAAATTTGTAAACAATAATACTTTTTAATGAAATTATACAAGGACAATATGTATGTTCTAAGTATTTATTAGTTTTCAATTGCTTCGATATTATCAAATTATACAATTAACAATTTACTACAAATTAGTCTTGGTTATTTGTAATGCTAAATAGTTAATGTATGTCAGTCTCTCAATGAAAAAATAAGAAAATTGTGAATTTATTCTCATATATTTTAATATGTTAGTTAGTAGTTACATGACATGTATACTACACTACACAACACAACAAAGTTATCGTGCTCATTCAGGCTTAGATACACTAATACACTTATACACTTAAGTAACGTGGTGTCACATAACATGTGCATTTGATCATGTATTATCAACTACCATACATACACGTACTTGAGTAACTGTGGAAGTGTTGAATTTATGTCTTTCTACTTCTACAGTTCTACATGACCAATCTTTAAATCACTTATTTTTAAAAAGTTAAATGGGTGTTAGCTAGATTAGATCATATAATCACTTGTTTGTTTTAATACTAACCAAGTTTCTTTTAAGCGTATTATTAAAGCAACATTAAACATTACTTTTCCAGAATGCTTTCTACATTCCAAGCTCGATCTAATCAGCTCTAATAACTGAAAACATAAAAAAAAAAAAAAAAAAAAAAAAAAAACGATTACAAACAATCCCTTAGTCCGATTGTAGACTCGTCAATAAGGTAACAACACATATGTGCATGACACAACACACGCTCATATATATGAATGTCCAAAACACTTTTCATTGGTTAAACTGTAAGCTAGTAGCTACATCATTGAAAAAGTAAGAGTTGTTCTTTTCACCTTTCCCATGATAATTGATCCAGGCCACCCTAAGAATTGCTTATCAAATAGTTTTAAAAAATAAATTATAAAATAATTAGAGCTAAGCATGAGTGAAAGCACCGGTAACCAGCTATTTAGAATTTAACCAATTAACCTAACTGACATATGTATGTATATGTCGCAATTAAGTAGTCACAACATATTCAATATAATACGTGGTTGTAAACCTAATTGTTAAACTTTATATCACTGGTTATTCTTGTCCAACTTTCATTTCTACCTGTAATTCCCCCCTTCATACAAGCTACAACCAACAACACACCCAATAAATGAAGTCCAAAATACATGACGTATATGTAAAGCAGTATTGATATATCCTTCTCCTTGCCCTAGCTAGCTAATTAAAGCATCATGCAATGCAGGCCATACAGCTCACATAAAGAAAGACTTAATTTTTAGAGAGATAAAGTAGTTAGAGAGAGAAATTATAGTTTATACATTATATATTTAACTAAATAGTATATATATAACAAGAGTATAATGGTAGGAATTTCTCCAAATTCTCTAAGACCTCACCTGCTTAATTTCATTCTCAAAAAAGAATAATTTTCTTCCTAATCCTCTCTTTAATTATTCATATTATACATACTCCATTATTTTTCCTACAATAATTCCCTCTTATAAAGACCTAGCTAACTACAACAAATAGTCTTATATTCTATAATCAACTCGCCTTTCGAGTTTATTAAAAGGCAAGATTAGTGAGAGAAGTAAAGAGATTAATCATGATTAGGGCAGCAAGTGCTAGCACAGAAGGATCCAAAACAAGCCTTTCCAATGATAGAATTGATGAGTGTGAGGAGGATGATGATAAGGTACTAGAGGAAGAAGAGGTTGATGATAATAATAGTAATGATAGCAATAGCAAGGTGATCAAGATCAATGGCTCGAGCTCGAGTACGAGCACCGTTGAGGAGAATGAAAAGAAAGGGCCAACCTCATCAGGATCCGTGAGGCCGTATAACCGGTCCAAGATGCCTAGGCTCCGGTGGACACCGGATCTCCATCTTTGCTTTGTTCATGCTGTTGAGAGGCTAGGAGGACAAGAAAGTAAGTAGTAATAATGATACTACTCTTTGTAATTAGCAATTTAAGGGTGTGAATAATTTACTAATTAATTAAGGTTTTTGTGATGAAATTGTGTAGGAGCAACACCTAAGTTGGTTCTTCAGTTGATGAATATCAAAGGTCTAAGTATTGCTCATGTCAAGAGTCATCTCCAGGTAAATAAAATTAGTCAAATCAACTAGATAATTTTTAATATGAGCAATCTAATTAATAAGTAAGAGTTATTAATTAAGTCCTTTCTAATTTGTATTTTGTTTAGTTATTCATGTTAAATTTCTGTTTTTAGCTATATATTGACTCCTTGAAATGGTTTTATTTTTTGTATTTTGTTTTCAGATGTACAGAAGCAAAAAGATTGATGAATCAAATCAAGGTAATTAATTTAACTTGCTTTCTATAAAACATTTAAATTAGATTAACTAGGGTTTTGTAGTCTTTGATTATTCTCTATGTGTCTAGATTAAATTCTTATCTAATTTCATTTATTTCGATGTTCTCGATTGATTATTGTGAAGAAGCTTTGAGCAATCAAGGGCTATTCGCTGATGGAAGAGATAATATCTACAACCTTAGCCAGCTACCTATGTTACAAGGCTACAATCATCAAAGATCGCCTTTTAGTCTAAGGTACTAAAACCAATTGCCCTAGAAATAAGCAAAATATATGGATCAAACAATTGAAGCATTTATATACTTATCAAGATATTGATTGATAATTTATCATAAACTAAATTATACATTTGTTCAAATAATTGCAATGAGCCAGGTATGGTGATCCTTCTTGGAGAGGTCATTCGACGAGCCAGATGTATGCTCCTTACAACATTGGGACTTCATCCGATAGGTCTAGAAACGGATTGAATTTTGGTTCTCTTCCGGAAAGGATGGTGTTTTCTAGTACTAATAGCAATTCTCATCAAGCCGGTATCAAAAATCTCTTCCAAGGGCAAATTTCAAATTGGAGAACCCAACAAACACTCAAAAAAGCCCCAATTTTTCAAAGCAATAACGGATCATCATCATGTCAATCCACAAGTAAGCCAAGGTCTAACATGGAGTTAAATCTAGCAATTAGTCCAACTCAAGAAGTAGCCGTCGAAAGAAAAGAGAGATCAAACCCTTTGAACTTCCTTAAACCCTCAAACATCAATATCAAGCAAGGGACTACTCCTAACAATAACCATTTGAAAAGGAAAGCTATGGATTTGGATCTCTCTCTTGCCCTAGCTACAAAAGATATCGACGATCCATTAACCAAGAAAAACACCAAGGATAAAGAGGTAATTGGAAGTGATGAATTACTATCACTTTCTTTGCAATATCCACCACCATTATCATCTACCTCGGAACATGACCAGCTCATTAGCAAGTTGAAGGAAGGAGATGCAAGTAGTAGGATGAATAATAATAATAATAACAAGCAAGAAACAAAGACAAGTTTGGATCTGACTTTGTGAATGAAGACAATTGATGAGTGAGATCTTGATGTACTTTATTGCAAAAAGTAGATAATTATATCTATTGCATATAATATACCAAAGGTAATGACAAATTAACTTGTCCTTAGCACTAATATTAATATTTTGTTGTTATATATATATGATCACTATTTTGGTTGCATGCTTGTACACTAAATATTCTAAGTGTCTAGGAAATCGAATATCAGCTAAGAGTTGCATAAAAGAAGGACCAGTTACATTAGTTAATTAACAATAATATATTTTGATTTTTGTAAAATTCTCGATATACTTCATTACTGAGAATCCTTGCTTGCATGATTAATTATCCTTTTAGCTGTCTCAAACAAGACAAAAATGCCATCAGAATCTTGCTTGCATGAAATGTATTGTGTGTGTGAGTTTGTATTTTTATTTTTCTAAATGTATACTTCGTATATAGTATAATTAATAATTTAATCTGAGCCAGACAAGTTGTTGATTCGATATTTTATATCAAGAAATGATTATTTGTGGATTATAATTAGATGCTTGTGAAAAAAAATCTTTTCAGATTAATTATATATACTGCATTATTACTGTTGCGAAATGAAAATGAAAAATCTTTACATTCTTTCTTTTAGTTGTCATTTACTTTTCTTTTCAGATTAATAATCTATATATAGTAGCCGCAAGTTCTTAAATCCATGATTTGGCTTAAAATTAGGCACGGTAATGTGTAATCAATATTCAATATGTGTTCAAAAGTGATTTTTTAGCATGTGTCTATTATACATCCAAAATTATATAGAAAATTCATGTATCTACTCCTAAAAATTAGATGTTTCATGCATATTGGGGATATATAGGTCACTGAATAAATTTAATTTTATAAGTAAATGGATGATTATAAAGGAAAAATGACTGGAAAACCGGCCAATAAATATCTAATGAACTTATATTGAAATATCTATTATAATTTGTCATGCATAAAACCAATAACCTATATATTTTCTGATTATGCATGCACACCAATATGACTATCTATATGTATAAGCCTAATATTCCTAACTAGCTATGATCAAATATAAGCATTTGTATGATTACTACTCGTATTGTTCGTTGATCCCGGTGTTAATTATCTAGTTAATTAAGTAGTGTGGGAAGCACATTAGTAGTCAATGCATTGGCAAGAACATAGTGTGCAGCTTGTGTAGGGTGAATTGAATCCCAGAAAACATAAGTTGAAGGATTAGAGCAAGTCAAAACCGGTGTATTGCATAGACTGCCTGATTCCAGTATTCCTGTACCACAACATCCTTCAAGTGTCGTTTGAAAACCTGCATTCATAACACAATTTCGATTTCATTATACGGAGTATTATTCAATTCACCTACAATGTTACAATATACAACCTTGGTTTTTACACTTACTAGAACAATAATACTTTTAGCTAGGAATGTAAGAATGTGGCTACTTCAACAACAAAGAGGTTTAACCGTGTATGAATGTGTAATGTACATGTACATGTACATGGAATAGAATTTACGAGCAGGAAAGTAGGTTTATATCCACTATACTTTTTTTTTTTTTTAATGTACGTGACAACTTTAAACTTTAACTTAGCTAGATATATATGTATATATAAGAAACGCGAATCATGTATACGTACTACATGATAACATAAATGGACTATATAGACGGAAAAATAGTTACCGTATGGTTGAGGTTGGTTAATCATATCGAGCAAAGGATTGTAAACATCAGCATAGGCAAATCTAGCATTGGGGTGTTGAGATTGCAACCCAATAAGTAGGGATTGGAGCTTCCCATTGTAGATTAAAGCATCTGAATTTTGTTGATCAACACAAACTCGTTGCAGCCAATGCATGCTAGGAATGATGCTGCCAACACTCACTTGGATTGGCAAGCACCCTAGTGGTGGAAGACCCGCCACCGCGAACCTTCTTGCTCCTAGGTTGTAAAGCGACTGTAACAACCAAATTAATAGTGAAAATATGAAGAAAAAAAAATTAATAACTCGTATATATTTTTTTGGGAAAAAAATGATAGAGAATGTATAAAATTATCTTTATATTCATCCTAAAATCTAAGGTCCACCAAAACCCTAACTGAATACTAGCTAGGCCGTTGGTAGCCCAAGCCAATTTATCTTTTCTTTGTAACTGGATTATCATCAACTTATTCAATTCATCAATTACTATTTATGTCTTTTTAAAAGTTAGTTAGCATCTACAAGATCGAGTGAGTAGTCTATGGTAGATATATATGTCAAAGACTCGAGACATTAATTAGTCACACAACTATCATTAACATTTAACTAATATATAACATTAAAAAAATTACTGAATCAAGATAACATACCAAACAATTAATCAAGTAATTAGAAAGAACAGTAATTACTTATAATGCGTAACAATAACATACCTGAATAATAAACTGAAGCCTAGAAATAAGAAGATCCGAGTAACTTGATGGTGAGTATAACAAAGCTTGAGTCGGCAAATCAAAGTAATTAATCAACATATCATTTGATCCAACCGATATTAAAAACATGGCATTTTCTACGGTCCAACTCGTTTTCTCTTGACCCACAATTTTCTTCATTCTTCCTAAAGCCTCTTCAAAGTAACTCAACTGAGCCGTCAGATCAAGCGCATGAGTAATCCCAATCGTTAGATCATCTAAACCGGACCCAGCCGAGGCGAAACTAACCCCTGTTAATAATTCCTGGTCTGATACGGTCCGGTTCAAGTAAGCCGGAATAAAGTCTTTTAGACCGAGTGAGGCTGCTATATAGTCTGGTGCAATTCGACCGTCAGAGAACCGGCCGGTTGGGATTCTTCCAGGAAAGTCTTCTCCATATGGCTGGTGGTCTGCCCGGAAGAGTGCCGTCGGAATGTAGTTGTTGTTGCCGGGGTCTACTGTTGAGTCCCCGAACACGTAGACAGCTGTTATTGGTTGCGTGGTGGCCAAGGTAGTGGTCAAGGTAGCGGTAGTAAGGAGTAGTATGAATGTAAGGGTGATCATCATGATGCTGAGTTTTGTTGCCATGTTTGTGAGAATTATGATTATGGAGGTTATTAGTGAATTTGTTTTTAAAGAGTTTATAGGTTTAATATTATAGCACTATTTGTTAATTTGTGAATAATTAAAATTATAATTTAATAATAATATAGAATTTATCAGTAATTATCTATGAGTTTGGATCATAGTAAACTCAAACCTTGAGTTTATCTTATATTCTTTTTTTTCAATGAATACTTTTGCATAGTATTAGTAGGAAACTAAACAATAAATCCCAAGGATTGAGTTTTAATTACAAGTTAAACTTGCCTATAATTTCATGTAAATGCTAGATTGTGATAAGTGCTTTGGTGTTAGAATTATATTTAGGACTTAAATTTAATGGATGATAATTAAAATAAAAAAGGAATATAAAATTTGCATGAACGGGAGTTAACAATGCAAAGAAAATGTTTCTTTGTTGTCAAGCATTCAAGCTTGTTTGGTTTACTTGTTCTTAATTTCTGAATTTATTGGGTTGGGCTATATTAAATGGGCAAAGCCTTTTTAAAGCCCAATTTGTCTTTTGGCCCATATATGTTTCGTTAAAGTCCAGGACGAAACTCACTAAAGGCCCTTAACGTCTTAACTTATTTCTCTCGTGTTCGATGAATCGATGATTCTACAACGGTGATTCGGTGAATTTGTTTTCACTAGATTAGTAAGTTTGCAACGTTAAAAGTACTCCAAAAATCCTAAGAGGATCCACATGTCTTACAATTTAAGCTACACATACATTACAAACTTACAAGGTGACTCATGATCGTTCTCAAACTAAGTTAATTTAAGCTATAACCTCTTGTAATTTTTGTTGGTCTTACATGTTTATTAAATTTTCAAACAAAATAAAAAAAAAATTATAAAATCAATGCAAAAATAATAAATCACAAATAATTTAATAATCCAAATGGACAACTCTTACATTGGGGTGGAGTGAAACCGTGGAAGTACATAGTTTTGTAAAGCTAATTAGTTTCACCAAAACTTGTTGAGTTCAGGAACAACCCACATGTGAGCATTCTCTTGTCTCACACTAATTTACTAAAAATGGAGAGTGTAGCGGTAATGGAATCTCACATTGAAAGAATTCAAGAGATACCACCACAGTATAAGGCTAAGGGGCTACTCCTCCTATAGTCATATGGTTTTGAGGTGGAACCTCCTTGGTCTTGTACAGTGGTGGACTGGTACTCTCCTGTGACGGGTGCGGCCTAGACCCGTATTTGACATGGTATCAGAGCCAGGCCCACGATCTCACGATTGGGGCCTTACTGGCTAAAGTATACTGGGCCAAAAACTATGGACAACTCACATGTGAGTGGGAGTGTTGAGTTCAGGAACAACCCACATGTGAGCATTCTCTTGTCCCACACTAATTCATTAAAAAGGGGGAGTGTAGTGGTGGAATCCCACATTGAAAGAATTCAAGAGATACCACCACAATATAAGGCTAAGGGACTACTCCCTTCATTGCCATATGGTTTTGAGGTGGAACCTCCTTGGTCTTGTAAAGTGGTGGACTTGCACTCTCCCGTAACGGGTGCGGCCCAAACCCTTATTTAACAAAACTACACCCTTGTAAGTCCTCAAGTATCTAATTGATGGGGGTGGTTGTTATAACGGTACAACTCATGAAGCTCCCTATCGGAAATTTGGAGTGAGTTGATCATCGTTTCGTGTATATATGTTTATCTAACTTGGCAATCTCAATTATACTTGTATGTCACATATCCACCATCATTTAATTTAAATACGACATATTAAATTGAACTCAAAACCTACACATGAATAACATGTACTCCGTATCATATACTCAAAAGTCGCCCCTCATTTTAATCGAAACCAATTATTTTGTCTATCTAATATTCTTAATAACGCTTGATCAATATAGTTCATGATTATAATATATACGATGAGCACACGACCATGCGATTAATGTCAATTATATGCAACAATTCCATGAACACCTAAAATAAAAAATCTCAATGGAGGAAACGACTAATTACTCAAAGATACCCGAATATCCCAACCTATTTAAAACCAGAAAAAACAAACCAAGAAAACATTTTTGAGACGAAAATATAGCATTAGAAACATAACAGAATTAACAAAAATGAAAATTTTCCCCTAAAAAAAACAAAAATGAAATTTTTAAAAAATAAAATTAAAAAAATTGAGAGAGAGATACAATGATACAACCGTACAGGTGTAGAATGCACACAACGAAATGACCCCCCAAAACGAAACCAAAATCACTCAACCAATCGGAAAGTAGAAAGCAAGATATGGTTTTGGCAACACCCATTTTCTCTCTCCTCCCCTCCAATTTTCTTCGGTATATGCTTTTCCTCTTCCAGCATCTCCTCCCAAAATCCAATTATCCCTCCCTCTTTAAATACCTTCCGCCATTGTTAAACCTTCCATTTTCTCTCTCCTCTCTTCAACAATGGCGTCTTCAATTTCACCGCACACTAGCCATGTCGCCACTACTTCTTCTCACAATCACAGGAGTAGAAATTCTCTCTCTTACTTTACTGAATATTATCATCACACTTCTTCTACTTTCCTCCATTTGAGGAAACTCAACCTCGTTTCTCTCTCCTCTTCTCATTCTCTCTCTTCTTCTTCTTCCTCGGCTTCTTCGCAGCTGGTAACTCGCGTTTCGACGGCGCCGGTGGGGTACGCGACACCGGCGCCGGAGTTTGATTTCGAGAAGGAGATTGCTCGGCTAAGAAGCTTGAAGTCGAAGCTATCAAAGGCTGAGAGTTTAGATAGGAAGCACCGAGTAATTGATAATGACTCGCGAGTTAGTCGATTCTTCAATTCGAGTCGGAATGATTTTTCTAGGGTTTTGGAATCGATTGAATTGGAGTCGTTTGAGATGTATTTGATCAAATGTGTTGTTGCGGCGGGGCAGGAGCATGTGATCAGCTATGGAATGGAGGAAGAAGACGAGGAGAGAGAATTTGAGAGTAGTCGAAGTTCGTTGAAGAGTGCGTTGTTTTCGTTGGCGGAGATGATTGAGAGCTGGGATATGGTGGGAGGTGGTGCAGGGAATGGTAAGATGGGGATGAGTAAGTTAACGGAGGAAGAAATTGCTGCTCTGAAGAAGCTGTTGAGGACTTTGGCTGAAATGGAAAGGTTTTATGATTGCATTGGTGGAATTATTGGGTAAGCTTTCCTAATTTGGAAAATTTTCGATTTCGCAACTCGTTTTATTGTGTTTCTTTATGGCATTTATGCATCAGCAGTATGATTTTAGTTAGTTGGATGATGACAAATGAGTGATGAAGATAGCGGGAATGTGTCAATGTGTGTATGCAGAAAATTGAATTAAGGTAGAGGATTCTTTGATTTTTAGCTATGATGATTATTTGCAGTTTTATAGTCTTATTGAAGATATGTATTTGTAGTGAAAATTGAATATAATTGGAAAACTTTGATTTAACACAAAAATGTTTCAAGACTTGAATTCCTGAATCTACTTGTGCGAACTACAATGTTATGGAGTGACCTTGATTTGTTTCAAAGTTGTATAATTAATGAGGAGGGATGCAAAATGGATAATTAATCAAGAAGCAAAGAGTGGTTTGCTTATGAATTTATGAACATCAAAGTTGAAGTTGACTGTGGAGATTAACACAAGAAATTTATGCTCAATTACTTTTTGGAGCAAATTTGGCTTGTAGGGTAGAATAGTATTGTTATTTAGGTAATTGGTAATAGCTTAATATGGGGATTCTATTGACTATGGTATAGAATTTCCTAAAAATAAGAATTGTCATGCTGTTGACCAATATAAGTGTTGGCATGACATATGCATAGCAAAGAAATAAAGGGTGGACAGGGAGTTCCGTTTGCCAACTAGCAACACCCAAGCTGTATGACAGGTTTGGAGTAGAGATAGATCTATGCATTGAAAATAACCATAGATTTTGAGATCTCTAATAAGCTCCTGTCGAGTTTATACTCAAACCATGGACAGGCAGGAGACAATTTTGCAAATGGAAACATCTTAGTAGTCCAAAAGGCAAAAGTGATTTTTGGTATTAGTGAGTGTAATCACTGTAATAGTGTCATGGGCTGCAAAGTCCCTCCCTCTAGGGGCAAGTTAGAAAAGTTTGGAGTCAAGGAATAAAATAAAATGTATGTGAAAGTTGGTTCTTACGTGTGCTTTTACCAGGGTAACTCACCGATCCTTCAAGAGTACCATAGATTATTGCCTCCGAAGGCCTTCATAACCACGCCAGCATGCTCAGTTCTACATCCACTTGTTACACCAAACTGTACCATGAGTCCACAATTGCATCTGTACTTAGCCCAGTTTTGATATTAGATGTTAGGCCTTGGGTCAAGGCTCATAACATGAGGAGAGGTGACCCTCAAGTGAGGTTCCATTCTAAAATAATATGGAAATAAGCGGATTTGTGTATTTAGTGGTTGGTTTTTGAAATGATAGCCTTCTAATTGTAGTTGATTGGGATTTTGGTGAAAGTTCCCAGCATATAATTTGAAAGCCAATTAGAATTTTGGGGAATAAAAGAAAGAGGGAAAGGGGGGGGGGGTGATGGCTGTGGTTCGTGTTAGAGTTAAAAAGCTTTTATCAGAGTCCTGTTCTTTAGATGGATATTTGAGCATTTCACCTTCACGGGGTATTGTCTGGTGCAAGTTGTAGAGGTTGATCATATAATGTCTCATATTCAAAACAGTATAGTCACACTTAATGTTGGTGAATGTATGCTAATAGTTCTTAATATTTGCATAATTCAGTTTCATGCATTTTGTGGGTGATTAATTACATAACAGAGTCAACATGTCATTCTCTGAGTAATGTGGGGCACAATTTGGTTGGCAGATACCAGTTAACTATTTTAGAGCTTCTTGCCGAGTCAGTTACTGGGCAAACCATGAATAGTTCCCAGCACATGAAAGAGTCGATGAAATGCCAATTTGTGGAAATTCATTCTCCCAAGGGGGTTGATCTTTCA